GTCGACGTACCCGTGTGTCGGCGGCCCCAAGCACGCCAACGATGAACCCGTCCGACGTCACGAGCGGATACCCGACAAAGCTGCGCAACTTGATGCCGTCCAACACGAGCGGATTGTCACGAAACCGGACGTCTGTCGTTAAGTTGGGGACCACCGTCACCTGCCCGCAGCCACGAATTCAAATCCCGTCACATCATAAATGGGTTGTTTGTAAAATGCGCAAAAGTCCATCCCAACACTCGCTCGAACCGACGTCTACCTCGTACGACATGATGACGTGGGCGCTGATCGAGACATCGCGGGAGACGCTCGTGTTGGCGCCCGCGCCATTGCCATAGGATGCCTTGACCCATTCGCGCTTGGCGTCGATGAAGCTGATGAACCCGAACGACGCCTGCAGCGCGTCCGCCGCGCCCTGGGCAATGTGATTGTATTCCTATCGTAAAGTCAGCCACCGAACACAAACCGCGATGCGCCATACCTGCTCTTGAGGGGTGTCAAGGATGGACAGGTCGTCGAGTTTGCGCAGACGCGCCGGCTCTTCAGTCGGGATCGGCGCCAACGGCCAGAGCTGCCCGTCCGTGTAATGCAACGGGTACGAAAACTGCTTGACTTGGGTCAGCTGCGTCGACGCCGACAACGTCGTGAGCGGGATGAACCCACTGCCGTCCGGGCGGGGCGGACGTGGGTGCTCGTTCGATCCACGGCTGCGATGGTACTGCACTTCGTCCGCTTCGTCAATCACACCGCTCAGCGATGCCAGGCGCGACGAGCTCAAGTTGTTCTGAAACGACCCCATGTGGCTCGACGACGACGTAATCGACGACGGATTCGACGAATCCATCGAGCTGCAAACGTTCGCGTCCGTCAGAGACCCTCGCGCGGCACGTGGTCGACGGTGCTAGCAACGTACCTCGAGCCACCCAACACGGAAGATTGCATCGACCCGTACACTTCTTCGTCATCTTCGTCCGAATCGATCTGGTGCTGCGTCGGAACTGCCGACAAGTTGGACATTCCATGGGACAACCGCTCCATAACTTGGAGCTGCCCCCCTACGCATGGAGAAACTTGTCCATCATCTCGAGCCACAACTCCATCCCATCCCATCATCCCATCACTGCGGTCCGCGTCATGCATCCAAAAGCAGCTGCCCCGATGCAGCCACGGACCCAACGATTCCAAATGAACACCAACGCGATGTTCGTCGTACCATCGGAAGAGCGGTGGGTGGCGGACGTTGATCGAGGCGGTGCGGTTCCGGCGTTCGAAGGTGCTGCCGCAGACGACGAAGGCGGCAAGGTGACATTAATTCGGCTCGAGTCGTTCTCCTTGAGACAGCGGATGCAAATGCGGACTTGGCACAGGCCAACGACGGGGAGCTTGACGGC